TCCGTGGCTTGCTTTTTCCGCCTAGAAGCGGGGCATTGACCGTCACACTCGTTTCTGGTGGCTACTGCTGTAGCCGTCGAGGTATTCTCCATTCCCTCGAATCACGGGTATCTCACCTGGGGGGTTTAACCCCCTCGCTTCCCCGTAGTCCGGTCCTATGCCCGGGCCCACTCCGGCTGGTCCAACAGGGTTCGCTCCCGATCTGTTGGCCCAGCCGCCTTCCAGCAGCGACCGTGGTCCTTGCCCACTATCTCTCGTTTGCTGCTGGAGAAATCCCCCGCCACCGCCGAGCGGCAGCGTGGGCTCTTCTCGTTGGCCTCTGGGGGCAGCAACCCAGCCACCCCTACTGGCTGCATCCGCCACGACGCTGCCAGGCTCCTTCTTCTTCACCGACTCCTCCACCAGGGCCGCCAATTGCGAAATCTGCCGTTGCAAACTTGCAAGCTCCGCGTCGCGGCCCTCCTGCACCGGCGGGCGGATCTGTTCTCCGCTCGCAGCAGCGCGCTCTTCGTCTTCAGCAGAGCTCATCCCGATGTGGCTTCCCGCGAGGGGTAAACTCTAGAGTGTTTGCGGCCTACGCAACTTATTTATCGGGTGAGACTGTTTTGGTGATGTATTAACTTCACGAGAGGTCGACGACCGTCCTTCACACGGACGAAAGAGGGAGTGCTCAAAGAGCGGCTGCCTACAGCAAGGAGGAGCCCCGTGGATCATCGCGGTGCCCCCTACCAAACGGTAACCTTACCAGTCTGCGTGACACAAAATCATCCAGCACATGTATCCAACACCAATGTTCGCAGACCCACGAACACAGCCCACCGCGCGAAAGGGAGTGTCCGCAAACTGAACACATCTGAGATGACGGTAAAACGACCACCGAAGGTTTTCAGCGTTCTCTCGCATTTGCCTCGGAAGTTTCATTTGCTGAGTTCCGCGCCTGTGTTGCCGTTTGCAGAGTCCACCTGGATCGCCCTCTAGGATTCAAAGTACTGTGAGAGATGC